CACGGAAGGAACGACGCATGCAGGTGCAGGGAGGCGAGCGGCGGGCGTGCCTTGAACGAAAGGGATGTCGCCGGGCGGTGGTGCTGTCGCCACTGTCGCAGGGTTACCGCCGTCAGCTGCGACGGCCGCGCCGATCGGTTCCGCGGCCGCTAGCGCAACGGGCAGCGCAGAGAGAAACAGCATTTCGCGTCGGCTGACGTGTCGCTGCCTCATAGGTTCGTCCTCGCGCTGGGACGCGCAGCGTACGGTGATTCGCGTGAGCTGAGGAGAATGTGAAGGCGAAAAGCGAATGGGAGGGCGCGGCGACGCGAGGAACGTCATGGTGGATGCAGAGCAAGGGATGACGGCAGACGCCATGGCGGATCGCAAGTGCTTGGGAGCGCGACTCTGCTTTCCTCTGCGCACACAACCGATCTAAAGCTGTCCGCTCGGTTACGCGCCTGTTGTGGTCTGGGGCTTGGTTGGGGGGGCTTGCGTAGGAATCTCACAGATGAGGCTCTGCTCGGTACATTTTCGTTTCGGAGAGCGTTGCAAGACGTTACCAGTTTCGCGCACACAACACGTCCAGCACTATTCACCCACCTCCCTCCCTCTCCATTTTGTTACCAGTTAGCGAGATTCGCTCCCATCTCGCTCTCGTTTCGCACAATTTGCATTTCGAATGAATAGCGCATAACAAGGAATATGAGTCGCATACTAAAACACTTATTCATCAACGCGTCTCACCAAAACGAGGACGTTACAAACCGAGCCCCACGGGCGTTGGGCATCGGCGCAACACCCCCACCAGTACGTGTACACCACCCACCCACCCCCCGTCCACTCACAGATGGACAACTCACAGCCCACCACTATAGCCTTCACCTGCATACGTGCGCGACCCAAATAAAGCCACCTCTTGCCGCGACCTGCTCCGCGCCCCGCGCGCACCTCCCGCACACCACCCCTGCGTGCTGCGCGCGCCCCGCTGGATGAAAGACGCGGGCATCGGCCGGCGGCGCACCTCGTCCGCATATCACGCGGCTGGGGGGGGCGGCCGACCCAGCTTAGGCGCGGCAGGCTTGAACAACGCGATCTTGAGCGGCGGCGGCTACAGCAGCGATGGCCATTGCAACGCCACTGCCGCCGCGCCGCCCGCCGCCACAGGGACCGATCGCCGCCTCGTGCCGCCCTCGTCGTCCGCCGCCGCGAGCCTCGTCGCCTCGCTGCTCCGCTTCCCGCGGCGCCGCTTCCCGCTGTGCGTGGCGCTGCTCCTCTGCTCCGCGCTGCTGCTGTGCGGCGCGTGGCTCCACCCGCGCTGCACGCCGCGCTCCCCAGCATCAAAACCCGCGCGGAGGACGTGCGACTCGCTGACCAAGCCCCCGGCGAGGGCGGGGAGGGCAGCGGCAGCAGTAGAAGTAGCAGCGGCGGCGGCTCGGGCGCGCAGGAGAGGTATTTCACGATCAACTACGGGCTGTTCGGCGGCGCCGCATTCCGCACCGCGTGATGCGGTTCCGCGTCGCGTACATCCCGCTGCCGGACGTGGGCGAGGAGGGCGGCGCGGCGGGCATGGGGCTTATGTACGAGAAGGGCAAGGCGTGGATGCTCGCCAACTCCTCGCAGATCCTCTCGCGCTTTGCGGCGCCCGCCACTGCCGCCGCCGCCATCGCCAAGGGCGCGGGCGGCGCGGTCGGGGGTGCGGGGGGGAACGGCACGGCGGTGGGGGGGAGCGCGCGGGGGGAACTCGAGCGCGGTGGCGTGCCTGCTGTGCGGGCGGATCGGGTGGGGGCAGTGCCAGAACGACACGTGCGTGTGCCCCGCCTTCTACAGCGGCTCTGAGTGCCTCGTGCGTCTCTCCCACCCCTCCCTACCCTCCCTCCTCCCCGTCTCGCGCCCCGACCTCCCTCACCTCTTCTCCCCTCCCACCACCCCCACTGTCTCCCACGTCCCCGACTTCATTCCAGTCCAACCCCTTGCCCAGCCCAGCCTAGCCTGCCACTCGTGTCCACCGTACCTCCTCCCATTCCCCTCCGCTCCCCTCCGCCCTTCACCCCTCCCTTCGTTCAACTCTTTCCACCCGCCTCGCCACAACCCTCATCTTGCGCTCCTTCCCGCCCCCAACCAGCACATCCCACCCTCACCCCCCCGCCCCCTTCTCGCACCCGCGATCCGCAACCCCCTGCTCCCCGCCCTCCCCACCCTTCGTGCAGAAGGAGCAGGAGCTGGCGTCGTTCCCCGGGCTGGCGGGCGTGGCGGCGCAGTATGTGGGCGACGTGGTGGTGAACCGGCACAACATGGAGGGCCACCGCTGGCTGCAAGGCTTCGCGACGCCCGCCATGCTCCGCCTCGTCGCGCAAGACCCCGAACTCGCTGATGCCTCCGCTGCCGCCGCCGCTGCTCACGCGAGGGGCGAGGGTGGCGAAGGGGGCGAGGGGGGGGCAGTGCGGGCGGAAGGGGAGGGGGCGGTGGGCGGGGAGGGGAGGGGGGTGAGGAGGAGGAGGTGGTGGACTCGGAGGGGCTGCAGCGCGCAGTGAGGAAGCTGAGGATGGTTGACAGCGACCTGCTCGACGTGCTGCCCTGTCAGTCATACCCCACCCCCCCCCCTCCTATTCCCTTCCATGCATCCACCTCCCACCATGTCAATCTCCCTTCGCTCCCTCCACCCACCGCCCCCATCCTTTCTGTCCTTATTCCACCCCCAACCCCCCCCCCTCCCTCGCATGGCTGTGGTGCATGGGTGGCAGTGACGGACGTGCTGCCGGCGGGGCAGGCGTTCAACTCGTGTGCGGTGGTGGGGGCGGGCGGGGCGCTGCTGGGCATGCAGCTGGGCCGCGAGATCGACTCGCACTCCGCCGTGCTGCGCTGCAACCGCGCCCGCACCCGGGTCAGTGCCCTGCTGCTGCTGCTGCTGTGTGCAAGGGAGCGGGGGGGAGAGCGAAGGGGGAGGGAGGCGGGGGGGTGGGGTAGTAGGTCAGGTGGAGTAACAGAAGCTCAACGTAGGTTTTCTTTATGTTAAGCTCTGGGAATGGTTCGCTGGGCTGCTGGGCTGCTGGGCTGCTGGGCTGCTGGGCTGGATGTATGCTTCTCTGCTCCTCCCGCGCTTTCACACACGTCCCCTTCCCCCCCGTGCATGTGTGTGGCATGCATGCACAGGGCTTCGAGGAGCAGGTGGGGCGGCGCACCAACTTCAGAGTCACCGACTACTACAGCTGGGGCTTCCAGGTGCCGCTCTCTGCCCTCTCCCTTCCCACCGCACTCTGCCCTGCCACACACACACACACGCACACACACACACACACAACACACACACACACACACACACACACACACACACACACAACACACACACACACACACACACACCACTTGCACCGCACGTGTGCATGCAATTGGCCTACTGCCGCATTTCACACCCGAGCAGATCATCCCCCTCAGCTCTCCTCTCTCTCTTTTTCAAGTTCCTGCCTACTGCCACACCTTGCAGACCATAAGGTCCAATTCCATACGACATCAAGCGTAGCCCTTGCAATCCACATTCAATCTGGTCCACGTGCACCCTCACCATGCTCCCCACACCGCACCCCTCATTCCCCCTCTGTGCGGTGGTGGCAGGAGCGCGATGAGAAGGTGCTGGTGCCCATAGTATCGCACACCACCGCACAGGGCCTCGTCACGGTTAGTCAGTGCACTCTGCCCCTGCCTGCCTGCCTGCCTGCCTGCTGGCCTGCCTGCCTGCCTGCCTGCCTGCCTGCCTGCCTGCCTGCCTGCCCGCCTGCCTGCCTGCCTGCCTGCCTGCCTGCTGGCCTGCCTGCCTGCCTGCCTGCCTTCCTTCCTGCCACACCTGCCATGCCATGCTGTCCCACACCCAGCGCACGCCAGCTCACTCACCATACCGCCCCCACCTTTGCCACCTCCCTCCCAGGCTCCCCCCTTCCTCCATCCCCTCCTTCCCCCCCCTCTCACCTCATTTCCGCCTCTCCCTCCCCCGCCCCCGACTCCCCCCCCCCTGGCAGGCGCGCAAGCGGTCATACACGGTACAGACGTACCCCATCCACCCGTCCTTCATGCAGTACGTGACGAGGAACGCCGGCCACGCGCCCACCGCGGGGTTCATAGCCGTCATGGTGGCGCTGCAGCGCTGCCAGCACATCACACTCTATGGCTTCACTGTCAGTCGCCGCACCACCACCGCCCTCATGCTTGCTTGCTTGCTTCTGAGTCGACTCAAAAGCTGCCATCACATCACACTCCACAGCTTCACTGTGAGCCCCTCCCTCCCCGCACTTTTGAGACGTCTCAAAAATACACCTTCTTTAATGCTGCCAGCAGATCACACTCTGTGGTTTCACTGTCAGTCCCTCTCCCCGCACCTCCGCCCTCATGCATGCTCGCTCTCTCTCTCCTCTCTCCTCCTTATGCTCAGGTATTGCCTCCTCATCCACGCTCTTCTTTTCCGCTCTCCTCCCCCACTTATCTCGCCCTCACCCCCGTGTCTCGCCCTCACCCCCGTGTCTCGCCCTCACCCCCGTGTCTCGCCCTCACCCCCCGTGTCTCGCCCTCACCCCCGTGTCTCGCCCTCACCCCCCCTCTCTCGTCTCCCTCTCCTTCCCCCCCCCACGTCTCCCACTCCACCTGCCAGTCGTCCACGCACTACCCAGCACCATACCACAACTACGACCCATGCCAGCGCAGCACCAAGCCCTCTGCTTTCTTCGCCCTGAACCCCCTGTCGCTGCCTCTCCCTCCCCCCCCGCCGTCTACCTCCCCCTCCGCCAGTCATCACCGCACTACCCAGCACCATACCACAACTACGACCCGTGCCAGCGCAGCACCAAGCCCTTTGCTAACTTTCTCCCTCACCCCCTGTCACTGCCTCTCCCTCCCCCTCCGCCAGTCATCACCGCACTACCCAGCACCTACCACTACTACGATCCGTGCCAGCGCAGCACCAAGCCGTGGCGCGAGCGCCGGGAGAGGCGCGCTGCTGCTGTGGCTCTGGCGCAGGCCGGCTTCCGCGCTTCCGCGAGCCCTGTGTGCGCGTTGAGAGGCCTGTGTGCGCGGTGTGTGAGATGGCCTGTGTGCGCGGTGGTGAGATGCCTGTGTGCCGGTGTGATTGAGTGAGGGTGATGCGGCCTGTGTTGTGCGCGGTGTGTGGTGAGTGCGTTGTGAGATGGCCTGTGTGCGGTTGAGATGGCCTGTGTGCGCGGTGAGATGGCCTGTGTGCGCGGTGAGATGGCCTGTTGTTGCGTGGTGAGATGGCCTGTGTGCGCGGTGAGATGGCCTGTGTGCGCGGTGAGATGGCCTGTGTGCGCGGTGAGATGGCCTGTGGCGCGGTGAGATGGCCTGTGTGCGCGGTGAGATGGCCTGTGTGCGCGGTGAGATGGCCTGTGTGCGCGTGTGAGATGGCCTGTGTGCGCGGTGAGATGGCCTGTGTGCGCGGTGTGTGCGTGTGTGCGCGGTGAGATGGCCTGTGTGCCCGGTGTGTCTTGCTGCGGTGCAATTTCAACCCCATCAGCGTCCGTTCTTTTTATTCCTCCCTTGCACTTCTCTCGTCACCTCTTTTGCCCCACTCACCTTCCCTTCCCCACCCACCCGTCCCCATCTTTCCCCGACCTGCAACACTGCATGCAGAGTGCCATGCCTCACAGCAGGACTGCACGCGCTGCTTTGCCAACTCCACCTCCTCCTCCTCCTCCTCCTCCTCCTCCTCCTCCTCCTCCTCCTCCTCTCCCTCCTCCTCCTCCTCCTCCTCCTCCTCCTCCTCCTCCTCCTCCTCCTCCTCCTCCTCCTTTCTCCCAACCACCACAGCCACCACACCGCTCCCCTCCGACTGCCCCCCCTGCAGCTTCACCCCCCGCGGCTGTCGCCCCCCTCCCCACTGGGCCCTGCGCCAGGCCTCTCCAGGAGGAGGAGGGGCAGCAGGGGGAGCAGGGGCGCGGGGAAAGCAGCAGTTACAGCAGAGGGGGGAGGCGCAGGTGGCAGTGGGGGTGGTTGGTGGACGTGGCATGGGGAAAGGGACTAGTGGTGGCGGTGGTGCTGCTGCTGCTACCGCTGCTAGCACTGCTTCCACTGCTGCTGCGACAGCTGGTGCTGGGGTTTCCACGGCTTCATCAGCTGCTGCCACTGCTGCTGCTGGTCACACACCCGACCGCACTGCTGCTGTTGCTGGCAGTGCTGACAGTGGCACCAAGGGGGGCGTTGCAGGGACAAGCAGAGCCAACGCTACAGCTGTTCCAGGTGCCACCATCCCTGCTTCTACCGCTGCTGGTGCCGCTGCTGCTGCTAATGCTGCTGCTGCTGCTGCTGCTGATGGTGGTGGTGGTGGTGGTACTGGCGCTGGTGCTGGCGTTGGTGTCACGGAAAATGTTGGTGGGAACAAGATTGCAGCGGTAAAGGAAGTGGATGGAGGGGGGCAGGTGGGGAGGGGGAGTGGGACGGCGTGCATGTGGACGTGACAAAGCGCGAGCGGCTGTGGCCCGACTTCCCCACTGACTCCAACGACACTGCCATCAGCTTCACAGAACCGTGGAAACACAAGGACAAGAAGAAGAAGAAGAAAAAGAAGAAGACGACGCCGGGGCAGGGCAACGATGGGGGGAAGGAGGGTGTGAAGGCGGAGGGGAGGGATGGGGTTGCGGGAGATGCTGTGGGGGAGGGGAAACAGAAGAAGGAAGAGGTGACGTCAGGTGGGACGCAGGGGAGTGATGGGAGTGGAGCCTCGGAGAAGGAAGGAGGAGAGCAGGGCCAGGTGGGTGGAGGGAAGGAGACGACGAGCACACGTGTGACGCAAACAGACAGGCAGCAGGATGGCGTTTCAAAGGAAGGTAGATCCTCTGCTGCTGCTGCTGTGCAGTCAGAGGTGAAAGGGGGTGGGAATGGGGGAGAAGGCACAGGTAAGGGGATAGCAGCTGGGGCAGGAGGGGAGAAGAAGAAGAAGGCATCAGTTGGTCCGGGTGCAGCGTCAGCTGGTTCGGGGGCAGCGTCAGGTGGTTCGGGGGCAGCGTCAGCTGGTTCGGGGGCAGCATCAGCTGGTTCGGGGGCAGCGTCAGCTGGTTGGGGGGCAGCGTCAGCTGGTTCGGGTGCAGCATCAGCTGGTTCGGGTGCAGCGTCAGCTGGTTCGGGTGCAGCGTCAGCTGGTTCGGGTGCAGCGTCAGCTGGTTCGGGTGCAGTGTTAGCTGGTTCGGGTGCAGCATCAGCTGGTTCGGGTGCAGCATCAGCTGGTTCGGGTGCAGCATCAGCTGGTTCAGTGGAAGGGTCGAGGGCAGCAGCAGCCTCAGCAGGGCGGGGAGCAGTGGCTGGTGATTCGGGAGTGCAACAGCAGGGAGCAGCAGCGGCAGCAGGAAGCAGAGGAGGGGGATCAGGGAAGGTCAAGGCAGTGGTGGGGGCGCATGGGGCTGCGGAGAGTAAAAGCACGCGCACCACAGGTGCAGGGCAGCAGGTGGCAGTGCCAGTAACAGCAAAGCAGCCCCGTCACGAGCCTGAAGGAAAGGTTGGGGCCAAGGGACATGTGAGCAGTGGTAAGGAGAGTAGGAGTGCAGAGGTAGTGGGTAGCAAGCAGGCAGCTGGAGGCAGAGAGGCGGTAGGTGCGGCAGGTAGTGCAGCGGCAGCAGGAAAAGCTGCTGCTACTGTGGCACGTGGAGGCGGCACCAGTGCAGTGCACAGCACCACAAGTACAGCTGCTGCTGCTGCTGCCAGCAAGACAGTGGCAAGAGCAACAGCTGGAGGAGCAGCAGCGGGGCAGAAAGGAAAGGCAGCTTCGGTTGCAGGACAGGCAGGGACAAGTGTTGATGGGAAAGTAGCTGCTGCTCACACGGGCAGCATACAGGGGAAGCAGGCTGCAGCGGCAGAAACAGCTACAGCAACACCGACAGCCACCAAACTAGAGTCTCAAACGTCTAGTGCAGGCAGTAAAGGCAAGCAAGGGGGTGGTGGAGCAAAGGCTGCGTCTGCTGCAGTAGCAGTGAAAGGTGGAGCCCCTGGGAAAGGCAGAGAGGCTCCTGCAGCAGCTGCAAAAAACAGTGGAGGAGGTGGTAAAGAAGAAGCACCCATGGGAGGTGGGAGTAAAGGGCAGGTAGCACAGCATCAGCAGCCACAGAAGTCAAGGCGGGAAGAGGTGCAGAGGGATAGGGACAAGGGAAGTGCGACAAACACTGTTCAGAAGCAGCAAGCCACCACTGGTGGTGCAGAAGGCGCTGGGAGAAAACAGGTGCCAGCACAAACTGGCAGTAAAGGAAGATTAGCAAGTGCTAGTATTGCAAAAAAAGGAAAAGTGGATGTGAATACTCAACAGAGTGATTCAGCTGTGAAAACAAGTAGACAGGGAGGCAAGAGTGTTGCCAGTAGAGGTGCCAATGCAACTGAAACAAAAGCCCAACGTTGAGTGGGCTGCTTTTTCTGTTACCTCTGTATTGAAGATTGGTACCGTATGAAAAAAATCCCCTTCAAATTGAGTACAGTCCTCCAACCCCAAGCTATGTCAAGCACATGATCGTGTGCATGCACATGGGTCGCACCTAAGTGCTTTGTTCCGCCTGCACCCTTTGTGATACTCAGCACCCTAATTCATGGTCAAACGGTGAACCATCTTACACCAAAACGAACCTATCTACCTTTGGAACATGTGACCCCTGAAGAACATCTGTGTGGGCTTTTTATGATGCTATAACGGTCAATCTCGGGTATCAGCAGATCTAGTGAGCATGCAAGACAGGTACAGTATGCCTATGACACCCATGCTAAAAAGTGCAAATGGAAAATGTTGATCTATCCAGGGCACCCACTTCTGTGCAATACTCCAGGCGAAAATACTCCCAGCCAATGTTGGTGCAATTGCACGGCAAACGGCATTTCCTGTCTGGCTTATTCCGTTGACCGTGCCCAAGAATTCAGAACGCTTGACGCTGTTCGAAATAAGAATGAAAACAGATGTGAAGGAGCACAGGGATGCTACGCTGCAAAGGCAGCTCAGCATGTTAGCAACCGAGAAGTTAGAAAACACTGGACATACTGCATAAAGGCATCATACCTTCGAAGCATCTGGACAGACATTATGGCGATTAGAAGCTTTGTGCGATCTGTTCCAACAACCCTCACTATAGGTAGTGCACCCAGAGTAGCTCCAAAAATTAGTCCAAGTTGAAGTGTTCGTGTTGGGCCGAGCCTCTGATTTAACACTGGGTACACGAAAAGCTGGAATGGAATCTGCAAAACGTGACAAGCTCAAGGTTAATGCAACCTCTTAAAACGCCAAATCGAGTTTCATTACTCAATACCGACCAGTGACACCCCTCCAGCTGTTTGAGCGAGTCCAACTTCATTTGATCCCAGGTTAAGACCACCAAGGTCCCAACGAGATAAGCACCAGAGTGGGAACAGTTCATCATAAGCCACATAGACGAGGCCCAAAAGATCATAGATCAATACGGAGCAGACTGCATGCATATGACAAACAGAATGTTAGAAGTTGGAGATAGAGTAGCCAATGAAAGCATGACAGCCACATACCTGTGTCAACCCGAAAGAGCTCATCACTTAAAGTTGTGCTGCCTCCACCACTTGAAGTCGCCATGACTCCCTTTGGACTTCCTGCTAGCAAAGCCTCTTTCTCAAAGTCCAGCTGCTTTCTGCAGTCCACGCCAACTTCTAGCTCCAATTTGTCATCATCAGTAAGATCGAGAACTGAAGACGGAGATTCGTCACTGTTTTTGCAATAATGTTCCACTTCAGAACACTCAAAGCTGTCTGTGACGCCCAGCTCCACTTCATTTCTCGACTTGACACGAGGTCGTGTTTCAGGAAGCATGAACAGGGAAACAACAAGCCCAGTAGTTGTAACAGTTGCGACCACCAGGCATGGTAATGCAAACGGAAATCGGTCAAAGATGGCATTTGGTGGGAAAACATCTGGATATTTCTGTGAAGGAAGGCACAGCAATCCTCCAATTGCAGGACCTGTTGTGCAGTTGAACGCGTCAAATCTCAAATCTGGTAGAAACCAGCCTAATGAAATTTTGTGGAGTTGAATAGTCCGAGCGACTCACCCAACAGAAGCCCAACTCCCCAGCATACTCCAATTATGGAAAACCTGCAATTCAAGAAGTGCAACTTAGAGATGAAGTCCTTTACAGCCAGTCGTAACCCCTTACACTGATATTATGCCATTACCCCTTTGCCTGGTTTGTGTCGTTTGTGATCTCAGATAAAGACCTGGATGAAATTTGTAAGCAGAGTGAGCAAGGGTGTAAGAGCTGGGAAAACTGCTTGCTCCTGTATAAACTTGTGCGGCTTACGTTTTTGCGACTCCAATTGAGCTGAAAAAGCCGTCCAGAAATCTTGCGAACATCGCCATTTGATAAGAGGTACTGAATCCAAACAGTAACCCGCAGATCAACGTACTCAGCTGTGTCATCAGAAGAATAGGCCGTCTTCCAATTCTATCTGACAACGATCTGCAACCTTGCGTCAGTACTTTCGCGAATGCCTAGCATGAGAGAGAAAGTATGTGGGGAGTGAGAGTGCAAGCGAGCGAGAAGGAGAGCGAGGGCAGGGAGGAGGAAAGCAGAGCGGAGAATGATGGAACAGATAGTAAATACTCGAGCTGACGTACCCCCATAAAAAGCTTGAGAGAAGGCTTCCAACGAATGTGCTGGAAGCAAGGAGGCCTGCGAAATATCTGCAATATCATGGAGAACAATGTTAGTTTGTCGCAACGAGGCATCAGTATCTGCGAATATTAGTCGATCAGGCCTACCCAATGTCTTCTTGCTTTTCTGTGAGCCCAAATTCTTGGACCATGAATGGCGCAAATGGAAGCAAAACGGTTTGAGCCAAGGCATTCGTGAGAAACATCACGGCCAGGGCAGTAGTTGGCCCGCGTGGCAGGCCTTCATCCGCGATATTCTGTGGCTTGGCCATGGCTCACAAGTACGTGATCAGAGAAGTATATCCTCCTACTGACCAACAACACGAATTAGTTACCGACGACGTGGAGTAGACTCAACAAGTAGCAGCGATCGAAGCACTGAAAGTGCTGGTTGTGATGATCGAGGCGCACTCTGTGGTTGACCTGTGCAACCACCACTCCTCGAAGTGGCTCATGTATATTCAGCTCGCGCAAGCAAACCATGGGTGTGTGTAACACCACAACGACAATGGAGGCTTGGCAAACTGTTATGAATGAACTTGCAGAGTGCGCAGTAAAACGAATATCGAGAATGAATGACTACTGAATGACGATACAATGAAGTGACGGGGATTTATAAGGGGAATCCTAGCTAGGCGAAGGGTTCGGGCTAGGATGGCTCGGAAAGTGTTGCGATTGGAGCGGTGGCGACTCGGAAGTGGTTCGGGGCGGAGTTGTAGGCCGAACCGGGCTGACGCGTGTCAGAATAACTGAACGAGGAATGAATGAACTAGCAGTGAAACGAGTACAAGTACCTAACCCTAGAATTGTGTACCCCCTATAGGCTAACCCACTGTAGCCTAAACAAGCACAACACATATAATGTTTGACACACCCCCATAGGCAAAGTGGGGGAGAGCAAGGGGTCACAAGACCAGTCAAAGCAAAGCAAAACAAGCTCAGGGTGGTTCTCAAGGATACCACACAAATTCCGAGCACAAGCAAGTGGTCACAAGACCAGTTCACATGCAGGTTGATAATATAACAGGAGAAACAGTGATAACAACCTAGCAAGTGTAAACATGCAGGCATATATATAAAGATCACAGTACAAGCAGAGTCAAGAAGTAAGCAAGTGGGGTCCAGCAGGCACAAGGCCTAGAAGAGTACAGAAACGCTGATGGTCACAAGGCTGAAGCGCCTTGGTGAACACATCCGCAAGGTTGGCCTCAGTGGCCATGTAACGCAGACGAAGCTGACCACGCTGCTGCAGCTCTCGAGCAAGGAAGTACCGCAGGGCGATGTGCTTCGTTCTGTGCTCCAGTCTGTGCTCCTCACACAAGGCAATGGCAGCCTGGTTGTCGACGTACAGTACTGGAGGAGAACGAGGCCGCTCTCCCAAGTCGGTCAGCAGGTAGGTCAGCCAGCGTAGCTCCTGGGCAGCCATGGCTGTGGCGTAGATCTCAGCCTCACAACTGGAGCTGAGAACAGAAGAAGAGCGTGTAGAACGCCAAGAAACTGAGCCGGAGCCAAGGCTGAAGGTGTAACCCTGAGACGACCGCTGAGTAGCCTGGTCGTCCGCCCAAGAAGCGTCTGAGTGTCCAGTAAGTACAACTCGGTCTCGCCCTCCAAGCACTAGCCCCATGCCCGACGTACTGCACAAGTAGCGCAACACCCTCTTAGCGGCATCCATGTGCTCCTTCCTGTGACGGCCAGGAGCGACATAGCGCGCAAGGATGCTAAGAGGGTATGCAAGGTCAGGTCGAGTGCAGGTCATCAGGTACATGAGGCAGCCCACAAGCTCTGGATACGGGCCACTCGGCTCTACGGACTCATCCGAAGGCAGAGCTGAGAGCGAGTGACCGGTAGGCAGAGGAGTGGACTGAGGCGAGGAGTACGTGAAGCGGAAGCGCTGAAGGATCTGCTGCACCATGTGTGACTGAGTCAAGGTGATGGTGCGCCGTGCTCTGTCCCGGGTGATCCGCAAGCCAAGATAGCTTGTCAGTTCACCCAGGTCTGTGCACGTGTGTCTCCTCTGCAGCTCCGACTTCACGTGGGCGAGTGCCGCGGTGTCAGCAGTGGCAAAGACCAAGTCGTCGACGTACACGAGGATGTAGAACGGCGGCAGTGAGGTGTCTGTGCGTAGAAATAGTGACGGGTCAGCAGTAGAGGGAGCGAACCCAAGAGCCGCAAGTGTCGTCCTCAGTGTGTCGTGCCACTCACGTGGTGCCTGGCGGAGACCGTAGACCGGCCGCTGAAGCCTCCACTGGGTACCAGGAGGAACCGACCCAGTGAAGCCAGGAGGGCGGCGCAGCCAGATCTCCTCGTGCAGGCTGCCCTGCAAGAAAGCAGTGCTGAAGTCAAGCGAGTGAAGCTCGTAGTCGCGCTGAGCGGCTATGTGCAGCAGCACCCGAAGAGTGGTCATCTTCGGGGTGGGGGAGAAGGTCTGGAAGAAGTCAACTCCCTCTCGCTGACTGAAGCCTCGAGCCACGTAGCGCGCCTTGAAGACCGGAGGAGAACCCGGTGGCCGCTTCACCCTGAAAATCCACATGCCACTGACGATGTTCGCCCCAGGTGGGGGAACCTCGTCGACGTAGGTGCGTGTGGACTTCCAGGAAGCCATCTCTGCGTCCATGGCTGTCTGCCACTGAGAGGAGTAGGGACCCGCCATCGCCTCAGCGTAAGTGCGCGGGGTCGGGATGTCTGGTGCATCCGGGTCTCCCTCAGGGGCAACTAGCATGGACACGAGGTGGGGTAAAGCAGCAGCAAAGCACTGGAACTCCTCCTGTCTGTCCTCAAGGACGTCCGTGCCAAGAGCACACTCACCCCCGACGGACGGAGGACAGACAGACTCAGACTCAGACTCAGCAACAAGGCTAGTGGCGTAGTCTAGACGACACCGGGCAGCAAAGTCTATCAACTCAGCGACCAGAGCAGACGCAGCAGAGGACTCAAAGGTAGGGTCAGTGACAACAGTAGCGAGGAAACGGGTGACAGTGGGACTGGCAGCACGACGGGAGTCAGACTCCGGATCAGGAAGAGTAGGCAGAGAGGACGCAGGAGGAGACAGCAGCGGAACACGCTGAGAAGCAGTGGAGGGACGCAGAGTCATGTAGTGAGTGCCAGGGACAGGAGGAGGACGCTCACGTGGGACACGACGACCAGTGCGAGCAGTACGAACAGGCGACGCAGGACGAGACTCAGGCTCACGACGCTCTGTAAGACCTCCCGTGGGACCAGTGTAAGGAGAGGGAGCAGGGAGAGGCGAGGCAGGCGGGAACTGTGACTGTGACTGGACAGGCGGAGGACACTCTACTGAGGAAGGAGGACAAGGAGGAGGAGCCTGACCAAGAACCTGCTGAAGAAGTGGTACGAAGTACGGTCGCGGTCGCGTAGCGTCTCCAGAACCAGCAGGGACACCAGCGACAGGGTCCTCAGCACCAGCAGCAGCTCCAACGTCCGGGTCCTCAGCACCAGCAGCAGCTCCACCGCTCGGGTCCTCAGCACCAGCAGCAGCTCCACCGTCCGGGTGCTCAGCTCCAGCAGTAGCTCCAACGCCCGGGTCCTCAGCACCAGCAGCAGCGCCACCGCTCGGGTCCTCAGCACCAGCAGCAGCTCCACCGTCCGGGTCCTCAGCTCCAGCAGTAGCGCCAACGCCCGGGTCCTCAGCACCAGCAGCCGCGCCACCGCTCGGGTCCGCAGCACCAGCAGCAGCTCCAACGCCCGGGTCCTCAGCACCAGTAGCAGCGCCACCCCCAGGGTCCGCAGCACCAGGAGCACCACTCCGAAGACTGCAGCGCCGCGTGTACCACTCTCGGATCTGCTGAATGGGGGGGAGCTCCTGGGCAGGAGGGGAAGTACTGGTGCGAGCTCCAGTAGCACCTCTCCGGAGGCGGCAGTACTGTAGGTACCTCTCCTGCAGCTGCTGGGAGGAGAGGGCTCCTCCAGGTGTAGCACGCTCAGGCTCAGCACCCCCAGACTCAGCACCCCCAGGCTCAGCACCCCCAGGCTCAGTACCTCCAGGCTCAGCACCCCCAGACTCAGCACCCCCAGGCTCAGCACCCCCAGGCTCCGCACCTCCAGGCTCCGCACCCCCAGGCTCCGCACCCCCAGGCTCCGCACCCCCAGGCTCAGTACCCTCAGACTCCTCACGGTCAGGCTCAGCACCCCCAGCAGGACGAGAGTCAACAGCTACCTCGACAGGCTCAACCGGGTCTACCTGGGACACACCTGAGGGAGCGGCACCCTGAGGGGGGAGGGGGTCTGGTACCTCAGCACCTGGAGCCAGGAAGAGAGGCGGGGGGGGGGAGCGGGGCAGTGCGGTAGGGGAAGAGGCGGTAGTAGGGGACGGACTCGTCAAAAGTGACGTCCTGAGAGGCCAGGACACGACGCGAGGTGGCGTGGTAGAACTGCCAACCAGGCGCGTCCGGGACGAAGCCAAGGAAGACACAGGGGACAGCTCGACGGGAGAGCTTGTCCGCGGACGTATCGCGAACAAAAGCTCGAGATCCCCAGACCCGAAAACGCGACGCATCGCCAGCCTCTCCCGTCCAACGCAGTGTCGGAGAGGTCTCCGGTAAGGAGACACGGGGCCAGAGGTTGAGCTGATGCGCAGCGTATCGGACTGCAAACGGCCACAGAAAGTGGGGGGCAGCCGCATGAACTAAGGAGGTACGAGCGACCTCCATGACCAAGCCAATGCGGCGCTCAGCAACCCCATT